AGTAACCACGACCACGACCGCGACCGCCGCCGCCGCCGAAGCCGCCGCGACCACCGCGACTGCCGCCGAAGTTACCGCGACCACCACCGCCGACCGCCGAAGCCGCCGCCGAAGTTACCGCGACCACCGCCGCCGCCGAAGTTACCGCGACCACCGCCGCCGCCGAAGCCGCCGCGACCACCGCCGCCGCCACCGTTTGCGCCTCGGCCGCCACGACCGCCGCCTCCGCGGCCACCGCGTCCTCGTGGCTTTGGTGGGTCCGTGAACAGACGCATTGGGGTGATCTGTGTGGGGGAGACAAAGATGTTATCCCCTTCACTAATGGACCCTGCCTGCACCCCAGGAACGGGCTTCACCGAAAACATCACATCGGTTGTGCTTCCCATCACTTCATCAATCTTGCCAATTTTAGCCTTGTTTTCGGTGTACACAAACGCATTGAAGCGCGGCACCACTTCGGGGATCGTGACTTTGTACACCAGATCCCCCTCTGCGGCGTTCATGAAGGTGCCGATGAGCTCCAGTGTTTCTGGTGGGTCCGGTTCCGCCTCACGGCCACCACCGCGGCCGCCGCGACCACCGCCGCCCCTTCCACCTCGTGGGCCGCCGAAGCCGCGACCGCCGCCGAAGCCGCCGCCACCGCCTCTGCCAAACCCACCGCCTCCACCGCGTGCCATTGTTGGGAGCGCTGAGGAACTGTTATGCAAAAAGAAGAACTACGTGGCAAAAAAAAAAACACTCACACAAGTAAAAGTAGTGGTAACAGCACGCAGGACCCTCCGCCCCTCCACCTCTTCACTCCAGAAGTGGCAGGGCAGACATGTGCAGAAAGGTCCTCGTTCACCGTCCCACCCCCGATGCCCACGTTCCTCGGCAGCAAGCCGCCAGCCAAGGGCGCAAGACTCACCCCCACGTTCCTTCTTCTGCAGACCGTAGCGGAGGTAAAATGCCCTGGAAATAGCATCCTCCAGTTCATTCTATTCCCGCAGAAATCCCCCACTTTCCATTATGCGATGGAGAGAATGGGGGACACACACACGCACACACACACAAGGAAAGTGGTGCTAGAGACAAACAACACAAACAGCAGTAAAAATCTCACGAAGACGCTTTGCACCATTCCACATAGTCGCCTATGACATATGGCCACTTGTCCTCCGCACTGTAGGCCTCGTTATTTGGGACGGTGGAGAGGAAAGCCTCAATCTCCCTCCACAGATCTCGGCTAACGTCTCGTTTATAGACGGTTGAACACCAGTTAATCCATTGCTCTATGCGAGGTGCTCGTTGGAAAAGCACACCCCAGGCCTTCACGGCCGTTCCACAAGGCATAAGACGAGCCTCCTCACCACGGATATAATCATAGAGCGCATTGTAGAACTCCTTGAAGGCGTCTCCTCTGGCTTCTTTCACCCACTCCACGAGAATCTTCTTCAGATCTTGTGGCTGATCAATTTTGTACGTGTACATCGTTTTAAGCCAATCTGCACGGGGAATGCAGCCGCCTCGTGTGACACCCATCTTCCAAATTAGCGCATACATCTCAAAAGAGTCTGGTTCTATCTCAAGCTCCCCGCAAAGGCGATAAATACCATTCATACCAAACGCATCAACCCCATCAACTCGGTCACGGCTGAGAAACCGCTCAAAGAGGGCTTCCATGTCACTTCTGGCGTTGCCTGTGACCGTGAGACTTTTGGAAACAACCGAGGCTCGGGGGGGCTGCTTGGCTGCCGCTGCTGCTGCCACTACTGTGGGGACTTTGGGTGCCGTTGTATTTGTTGCGGAGCGGGCGACGCCACTAGCCGACTGCACCCGATTTAAGGAGATGCCTTGTGAGGCGGATAAGCCTCGCTGCGCTCTTGGAGGCATTATTTTCTTGCTGCTGTCGACTGTCACTACTTGATGCGCCTGCAGCCACGCTTGTGTAGCGGCCGCAATAAGAAGAAGAAAGGCATGAGGAGGAATAAGGTGCAAGACCAAAGAGCAACGCGTAGAAGATCACCCCCGAATGAAATATAGGGCCCCTCGCAGGATGTAAGTTCGCTCGCAAACAATAGGGTAAAATAGTACAGCAAAAACTCATAGAAGGGGGGAGGAATACTGTTGGAATACGATAAGATAAACTCTCTTGCTTTTCTTTTTCTTTTCTTTTCCATCCATTCTCTCCTTGTTCGCACTCGAACCACTTATTTCCGTCAATGGCGCTTAGGCACACTCCTTTTCAAGAAGAAAAGAAAAGGCAAAAACATAATAATAGAGGGGGAGAAAAAAAAAGTGGGAATCAAATCAATAATGGCATTAACGATATACGCAAAGACATAATATAAGAAAGAGAGGTGAACTATGTGTATCCTTTCTTGGTGCTGTAATCACTCCTGCGGCAGTTCCCAATCCGCCGCCTAACAGGCCGCGTTCTGTGGCCGCTGTAGCATCACGTAGTTGTGGTACGTCATGGGGTCACTGGCCTGCATGACCCGTGTCCAACGGCGACGGCGGACAAGACTCGTCTTGGAGAGCCTGGTGGGGTGAAACGGCTGATCAAACCCCTCGCTGTACGTCCACCCTTCCGCGTCATGCGGAAAAACCTCGTGCCGCCACAGATTGAGCCACACCCACTTGCTCCGGTCTGGCAGCACACAGCCCTCCCGGCTGCACTCCGTTGTGGCCTCTTCTCCGGAAAAACTGTAGGCGTGGTGCTGGGAGAAGACCGTCGGCACCCAGCACTTCCCCTCGAGTATTTGGTTTTCGTAGCAGGAAACCACGAGCACGTCCCGCTCGGACTCCAGGCCGGCAAGGCCCGCCGTGTCTCGCTCATACGCTGCCAGAAAGAGTGTCCCCGACAAAGTTCCCACGTGGCAGGCACGGTAGTAAAGCGCAGTTGAGAACTCCACCACCTCCCCCAATTGAAGCATGTCCTTCAGCGGGAGAGTCCCCGAGGCAATGACGGACTGCTCTCGCGTCGCCGCCGCGGGAAGGAAACCCAAGAGAGAAAATGTCACCGCTTGCAGCCGCAAAAAGGTCGCGTTGCTGACTGTTGGCGCCACCACAGGCACTGCCGGCCCCGACAACTTGTATGCATCGCCCTCCTTGAACAAGGCCGTGAGCAACGGACTTTGCTCTATCCAGTCGGCGGAGATGCGCAACTCCGGGGAGCCCACCGCAGGGATGCGATGATTCGGGGAGGCAAGAGTCAAGTTGTCAAACACCAACTGTACGCGTGGAACCTCCTCGCTAAAAACGCCCAGATAGGCCCGCTGACAAAACACATCCGCCGCGATAAAGGCGTTTGGTGCCGCCAAAGCCCTAGATGTGGTGTACTGCTTGACGTCAAGACGACACACGCGGGGGCGAAATGCGTAGAAGATGCGAATTGGCTCTGTGGCAGTTAATATTGCGCTGCTTGGGGTCGCCTCCACCAAGTCCGACATGAGATTCCCGGCCTTCATCTGTGCAAGGAGCATGTCCTCCTGCCTAAAATCGGCGCCAAAATTGAAGGCGCCTGAGACGACAAAATAATCAAATCGTGCCCCAATGTCAACAAAGGGGTCGCCGAAGGGAAAGCTGCTCATCATCAAACGCATGGCAGCCGCACGCCGTGAGACTGTGCATTCTATCGGCTTCGCATTCAACAAAAGTATGCCTATGCCTACCTCGTTGAGGCGCAGGGCACACCCCACGGAGGTAAAGGCGCCTTTCGGGATATCATCTCTGAACACCGGCGTCGTCTCCATCGCCTCGATGTGTGAAGTGCGCAAAATAAACGAATGTCGCACGATAACGATCATGGCATTGTTGGTCTTCCTCCGCTTCGAAGAAACAGTTGTGTTTGCCAGGACGTAGTGCAGCGATGGCCCCAAGTAGTCGAGGAAATACTTCGAGAGAGCGTCGTTGCCAATAAAGGCCCGTGGGACATCCATGACCCCTATAACGTACACCTCGTGGGAGCCTTGCGGCATAAAACTGTTGAGCACGGCGGCACTGCGTGGCAGCGGACGATCTCGCATCGAGAAGCAGCCGTACCACATATCCACTACTTCGTACGGCGTTCGAGCCACCATAAACTTGGAATCACCACTCACCCTCACTGATTTCGCGTTGGGGCGGTCAATTGTGGTGCCCTGCACGTGCAGAATGACATCCTGCTCATTTCCCAAACAGAGTGACGGGCACCACATAATTGAATTGCGGCGCAGCGCCATGGCAACCTCGTAGAATCGGTGCCGTCGTCCTGTGCAAGTGAACTCCAATTCATACGGGTGCGGCGCCTCAAAGAAGTGAAGCGTTAGCCGCCTCGAGTTGCAGGGATCCTTTTCCACCCGAAACAAATTCCCAGCCGGGTAATGGAAAGACATGTATCCGGTCATGTCCAAGTTTGCAAAGCGACGCTTGAAGAAATCCACCAACCAGATGCGGTCTTTTTTACCCCCAATGAGTGTCGCACCGTTTATTTTAATAACCTTAAACGGCTCTAGTAGATAGCGGTTGTTGGGAAGGGCATGAGAGGGGACCACCAGCGTCGTAAGAGCCGTGAATGGCGCAAGAAGGGGAGTAGTAGCCGGTAGCGAAGCTGCATCAGTGGACGTGGCAGCATCAATAGCCGCATCACCGGTAACTGTTGTAGTAGCCGTAGATGCATCAGCAGCATTCACGGCAGCAGCATCGACGGCCGTATCCGCATCGGTGGCTGTGACAGCATCGGATTTCGTCGCATGTGATGTGTCGTTCCCCACAATTCCATTTGCTGCATCCGGCGCGATTTCCTTTTCCGCGGCAATCGTCTCTTTTGGGGTAATGGAGTCAGTTGTCATTCCCTGCGGAACCGCCGCCGCGCAGTGCTTGGGGGCGTTCGACACGTCAAAGGCCTCCCGCTCGTGACCACTCGGTTGCACACCCCCCACGATCTCGAGCAGCTCTTGACCCGCGGCCGCCGCGTTTACGTCGTTGCCCCCGTCGCCATTCTCGTCCAGCCGCACGTCGCCCGCGGGGTGCGCCGCCGCCGCCGCCTCGCCGCGCTCCTCGTCTTTGGCGCCCGCCGACTCGTCGGCGGCGACGTCAAGGTCCAGCTCGAGGTCGAGCTCCAGGTCACTTTCGTCCAGCACGAGGGAGTCGTCCAGCTCCGCCAGGAGATCCGAGTCGGCGCTGCCGCCGCCGCCGGCATGCACGCCGTCCGCGGCATCTGCCGCCTCTTCCGCGGGCTCGTGCGCCTCAAACCTCTCCTCCAACTCCAGCAGCTCCTCCAGAAGCAAGTCCTCGTCAACCACCAGATCCGCGGCGGCAGTGGACGACGAAGACGGAGGCGCTTCCCCGCCTACTTTTTCCCCAGTCACGTTGCCGTGTCTATCAAGAAACCGCCGCTGCTGCCCCCCACGCGGTGTCGCGGCGCTCTCCGCCGGCGGCTGCTCGCTCCCAACGCTCTCAAGGGTCCTCGCCAAGCCACGCCCTGTGGCTTTGCCATCATCCTTCAGCTGCAGCCGCACATCGCCGGGGCGCTCGAGTGGCAGCACCGTGCCATTGGCGGCCCGAGGAGTGTTTGCAGTTGCCGTCACACGCGTCGCGGTGGAGGCCGCGTTTTGCTCCGACTCCAGCACGGCCACTTGCTGTAGCAGCTGCTCCACCTCTGTGTCGCCCCGCCCCCCGAGCCGCTTCTTCGCCTCTTCAATGTGCTGCAAAAGGCCGTGAATCCGTCGCTCCTTCTCTGCGTTGTCGTGCCGCAGGTGCGCGATCTCCCCCCGTTGCGCCTCCAACTCCTCCTCCAGTCGCTGCATCTCACTCTTGTGCTCCTCCATCAGGCGCCGCGACTCCGCCAACTTTTCATCCATGGTCATTTGCAGTTCCTTCTGAAAGGCCTCACTCGCCGCAAGCTGCTCCGCAAGACCGTCCCTATCACTCTCGGATGCCCCCTGCAGCTGGCACTTAAGCTGCTCAATCTCCTTCTGAAGAGCGGCAATCACCTCGTTGTTGTTGCTTTCGTTGACAACCGCCTTGTTCACAATCCTCTTCGCCCGCTCGGCGTACCGCAGCGTACTCATCGTCTCCTCATACTGTGCCGAGGAGGGACTGATCGTTGCGAGCATAACCGTCTTGGAGTTCCCACCCAAATTGTCCTTCAGAATCCACGTGAGGACGGAGTCACGGTAGGGAATATGCCGCTGCCGCCCCGTCTCCTGCTCCTCCGCGAGGCTGCTGATGACGTTCCCCAAACACATGAGCGACTTATTGATGTTTGCCCCCTCCGTGAACCGCTTACCTGTCGCCATCGACTTCGACGCCCGCTCGCTGCCCGCGAGGTCAACCAGATTCAGCTTAGACGTCTTTGTTGTCACTAGTCGGCCATTCGTCCGCCGCTGCGTCAGGGTGACCACAAAGACCGCGTGGGAGCGGCTGCTGACGGCGTTCATCGCCGTTGCCCCCGAGGTGCGGATCTTGTTGCCGTCGTCTAGCAGCCGCAGGAGTTCGTCCTCCGTGGAGACGAGGAACTTTGTGAGTCCCTCAATGAAGGGCCCAAACTTTGGATGCTCACGCACCCGCAGCGTGGAGTTGTCAAAGTCCCCCGCGGCCGGGCAGAGGAGGCAGCGCACCCGCTCGTTGTAGATTTCAAAGAAGGACACCTCCACGCAGGACTCCACGCCACTGCTGGCAAGGTTATTTACCTCGGTGAATAGGCTCGCCGCCACCCGAGGAATGACCCCTAAATCTGTGGGGATCCCCATCATTGAGTACGTCTTGCCGCTGCCTGTCTGGCCGTACGCGAAGATGCAGCCGTTGTAGCCCGTCACCACATGATTCATCAGCTCCGAGGCCACGCACCTGTAGACGGTGCTCTGCGACGCGTGTGGATTGGTGCAGCCCTCCGAAACTACCTGCGTGGACCAGAGCGCCTCGTCAAAAGCGAACTTCCCACCGAGGCCCTCCAACGAGTCCAGCACCGTCACCTCACCGTCGTTCATGCGCACAATAACCGTCGTCTTCTCGGCCTGCTCGTCGAGACTGAGAGGTCTGCAACGGACAGCAACCTTCACAGACATTCTGCTGCCTCGCGTGCTTTTTTTATGTATTTTGCTCAGTGGGTTGCTTCGTCTCTCTCGCTCTCGGTGTGTGTGTGTGTGTGTGTGTCGGTGCGGGATGCCGTCTGCCCCGGCCCAAGCCGCAGACGCAGAGGGAAATTAAAAAAAAACAGCGAAGGAAAAAAACAGCGAAGACGAATGAAGGGCGGAGAAAAACACTTCTAGGCGACCGCAGCAGCAACAAGAGGGAAAAGAGTGCCGGGGTCCACGACAATAGCCGCACCGACACACACACAGAGACACAGAAACAGGGAGCGGTAGTGGATAACGAGGGGCAGTTTGGCTCGCGGAGAATGAAGAAAAAGTGGAGGTGTTGTTCAGAAGGAAGATAGGAGGAAACAACAACACACACACACACACACTCTCTCTCTTTGTTTAACTCTTCTCGCGTGTGCCTTATTCATCTGATGAGACATCTATGCCATTGCAGCGAACCACACTATCGATGATGCCGCTCATTGAGACGAGGCTGTCCCGCGTCAGCGCGCCTGCTGAGCTCTGGAACAGGAGAAACTCCTGCAGGACGGCGACGATGAGCGTCATGGGTTTCGTCGCCACCTTCTTCAGCGCCGCCGTCCCTCGCGTGGCGTGGGCGACAGCCGTCATGACGGGAACGCGCAGCTGCAGCCTGGGCGTAGCGCAGAGGGAGAGGACGGCTAGAAGCAGCGCGTAGTAGCCGGCGAGGACGTGCCTCTCCGTGCCCTCGGCATGGTACGCGCGAAAGGCCAAACCCGCGACGCGCGTCAAAAACGAGGCGTCCTCGACAAGAAAACCGGTGAACTCGTCGGCGTGCTCGCGCGCCTCCCACTTGACGATGTTCGTGGTGAGGCAGAGCGTGAATGCAAGTGTGTCAGGAATCGCCTCGGCGTCTGTCAAAGTGTCCGCGGCCACAAGCGCCAGGGCGCGGCTCTGCTGCGGAGATCCGCTCAGCACGGAGGGAACCAAACCCGTCACATTCGTCAACACGCGCAGGGCGGCGTTTTTCTCCTCGCCGCGTGCTTCGCCCACGCCGCCTCGCGTCTCAGCCTCGGTGATGAGACGCACCAGCGAGGCAGCCGTCATCCGCAGCTCGGAGGCGTAGGCCCCGCGTAGTCCCTCGCAGAGCGTCACAGCCTCCAGCAAGTGCAGCGCGTCCGCACACTCCTCGGCCCCAAGCAGGGCGGAAACCGTCTTAAAACCCCCGAACTCAGCAAAGACAAGGCAAACGCTGGGAACAGATGGGTGGGAAACGCCCCTGTTTTGTCTAAAGACAACCTCCAGCAACACACGAAGCGCCAACGCGGCGGAAGAAGTACCCTCCTCCTCCTCCTCACAGAGTGCATTTACGCCTGCCTTAAGTTCAGCTAGGCCGGATGGACGCGCCGGCACGACTGCGGCTGGCCGAGCTCGCTGGGACCAGTGCAAAGGCCGCGTGCACTGTGTATGCGCATCAACGGCGGCCGCTGGACATCGTTGACAGCACTGAAGGAGGAACTTCATCAGCTCCGCCCCGTAAACCACCTCCGCGTCGCTTAACTTCACAAGCAGGGCAATAAACCGCAGGAAGCACTGCTGATACTCCTCAGAGAGTCCAGAGGTAGTGCCGCTGCAGAGCAGCTCGAACAGTTTGGGCTGCGTCCCTGAACGCTTGAGCGACAGCATGACTGGCTCGGCGCCATGCTTTGAGAAGTGATCGACGAATGCGACTAAAGCCGCCGGGGTGCGCGCGGAGGAAGCGACCCGTGCCAGGTAGAGAGACATGTCTGCAAGCTCCTCCTCTGCCCGGAAAAAAAAACTCATTTCTGTTGCAAATGCACTCGTCGTGCTCTTTTGGGAATCTGACGAGTTGATGCCCCCACTTGACGACGTCAACAGTCGCGAGGCAGGGCTGCTGGTGCTTGTCGAGGTCACATTCCTGCTCTCGCTGCGGCTGCGACTGCGGCTGCGGCTGCGACTGCTACTGCAGCCCCGCTGCGCCACCGCTGCGTCGCTGGCCCGCTGCAAGGACGCACCCTCCACCCGGGACTCGTCGAGGCGGCTGCAGGAGAGAATTTCTTCAAGGAAGCCGGCAACATCGGAAACAGCGCGTCTGCGCTTCCCCATTTTTTTTCTTTTTCTTTTTTTTTTGCTGCTTGCACGTCCCCTTCCGTGCAGAAGAAGAAATAAACAAGTGAAACAAAACAAGAAGAATGCAAAAGCGGAATGATTACAATGCACCCGCCGCGTACATGGAGCCGACGGCACGGCACGGCACGGCACACACACACACACAAATACACACGAGTGGGAGGGTCGGGGAGTCACGGAAAAGAGGCGCACATTTTTGCGCAAGTAGAGTGGCGTGGGGATTCCCTTTTGCGCTCAGGCACCCTCTCTCTCTCTTCCCCCCTTCACCCGCCCCTCCAGCGCCTACGCAGAAGAAGAGAGGCCGGGGGCGCGCGGCTCACGACGCATCCCCGCGCAGTACGCCGTCGTAGATCTTGTCGAGGCTCTCCTCGGTGAGGACGCGCGCCCCCTTCGCCTGCGTCCGCGCAACCTCCCCGCCGCAGCCCAAGATGACCTCCCGCGCCACCCCCCGCACCTTCTGCGGAAGCGCACCCAAGTGAAACGACATTCCCTGCAAAACGGGGGTCTTGCCGGGGCGAAAAATAACCTCTCGCAGACTTGCCGCGCTGTAGGTGCGGGAGCCGTGACTCAGCGCCGGCACGTACTTCTCCAGCTGGGCCGTATCCCCATTTTCTAAAAAGTTTTCCGTGACAACAGGAATTCCCCGCCCAACGGCGACGAGGAGCTTTGGCGTTCTCGCCACCGGGGAGCCGACGACGAGCAAATCCGCGTCAGTGATTTTGTCAGTCGTCTGCCACCCCAGTTTTTTCGCTAATTTCTGCGCCCGCGCCTTCTCCGTGCCGTCCATGCCGGAGAAGCACACCCACCTCGCACGAAGAGGAGAGAAAACGGGCCTGGCGGCGCCTCGAGGCGGGGTTGTCTCGCGCTCCACTCGACGACGCTTCTTCCCCGGCGTAGGGGACGTCCCCAGAGAGGGCGGAAGACCAACACCCTCGCCCGCGCGCTCGTCAGGCACGCACCCGTGGGAGCCCTCCAAGTCTGCCCCTTTTGCCCCCGTCTCCGCAGGGTCGCCAGCTCGCTCGAGGAGGCTGTGGATGGCGGCCGTGGCGGCAACCCGCGTATCCGTAGAGGCGCAGAGAATCTCACTGTGTGTGCCGCTGAGGTTTGTGGGGCACGACGCGTTCGGCGACGACGGCGCGGAGAGCGGCGTGGCACCGCTCCTCTGGTCACACGCGTCACCTGCCGCGCAGGCGCCCGTCTCGAGGCGCATCTCGACGTCACCGAAGATGACGCGGTTGCCCGGCTTCAGTTGGTAGGAGCGCTGCGGCTCGAGGCGAATGCCGTGGCCCGCGTTGACGGCCAAAAACGTCCCGTTGGTGCTGTTGCAGTCCGAGAGCCACACATCGCCGTTGCCGGCCACCTCAATCACCGCCTGTACCCGGCTGATCGTGGCGAAGGGGGACTCCAGGCTCACAAAGGAGACGCCCTCGACCGCGGAAACGGCGGCGCTGCGGCCAATGACGTTCTTCCCCGGACGCAGCAGCTCCCGCTTCCCGCTCGCCGCGTCAACGAGGAAGTAGTGCTCCATCCCCGCACCCCAGCGCGCTATCAGTGACACAAATATCGTCCTCCAGTCAAAGGAAAGAAGTAAAAAAGCAACACAAAAAAAAGAAAAGCAACAACAGAATAACAAGGAGGCAAATGCTTAAAAAGAAAAACCAAAAAGGAGGACGAGACGACAGCAGAGGGGGTGCAAACACACCACAATAAGCCGGCTCACCCCCGCAATAACCACCAAGCGGAAGTCACAAGAGCTGCAGCGGACGAATTGAAGGCGACATCGGCGGCGGCGGTAGTGCTTACACGGTATTGAATCGTGCGGTGCCCCTCCGTGCCCTCCCTTCCCCCTCCATTTCTCCACAGAAGCGCCGCAAGAATGCATCCACCAACCCATCTAGACAAAAATGAGATAAAAACTGGGGCACCGCTTACGTCGTCGTCAGTGCGTCCGCCGCATTTCTCTTCACCACGACACCAAAATTTCCTCCCTGGCCCGCAATCGTGGTGGCGATGTATACTACATCGTCAAACGTCATGGAGAGGCGTTTGACGGCTTCTCCAGGCTGCAGCAAAGTAGATGCCTGCTGCACTATCGTATACGCCAGCTGCTGCTTCTCCTCATCCTCGAAGTCGCCACTGCTCGTCATCACCTGGCCGAGGGAGGTGAAGATGACAAAGTGGTTGACGCCCCTATTAAGGAACTGGTCCTTCACCCAACCGGCCTGGCTCATCGGCAGACACACAACCACACAACCTCACACCTAAAACGAGAAGGCACAGAAAAAAGTGGAAACAAAAGGTCAAGCTGCACTTCAACAACAAGTAAGACAGTCGCAACTCCCAAATCATGCACGCCCGCCGGTCCCACATAGAGAAAATATGCAACTCCAAAGAAAGCAAAGGATGAGAAAGCATACACTTTTGTTTCACTCCCCCCCCCCCCCAGTTGTCATTGTTGCTACTGATGTGAGTCTAACTGTGCTTATGCAAATCTATCCTTCTTTCTCTCTGTGCGCGCCGTATGAGAAACTACAATAACAATTTACAAAGAAATGACTATCACACGCCTACACGCTGACGGCGCGGGGTAACTCAATAGTGTTTCTTGGGGCTCTTCTTCATTTTTGGTTTGCTCTGGAAATGCACATGCAGCTGCTCCTCAAAGCTGAGATCTTCTAGCACCATCGGTTTGGGCTTCCCGCGCCAGTGCGGCCCCATAAAGTGCTGCCGATCCGTTAACTCCTTGTGCCGCATCACAGCATCGGGATCCATGTTTCCGTAGCCCCAATTGGTCATGGGCACAAAATCGCGCCTCCCAGCCCCGTGTGGAAAGGCGTCGGGGGACTCCTTCTCCGTTCGCTTTGTGAGGCGCCTTTCGTGGTTCTCGAGGGGATTCACAACTCCCCAGTCGTACTTTTCGCTTGCGTTTGGGAGAAGACGCAGTCGCTGCTTCGACACACACATGCGGCCGTAGGAAATGCGGTCCAGCGCACTCGCCAGCTGCAGCTGAAGCGAGTGTCCGCCACAACCGCGGTTATGCAGCCACTTTTCTCGCACCTCCACCAAAGTATGCTGCCGCGTGAGCGGGTCGCTGACGCTCCGTGCAAGCGCGATGCACTCCTTGTACAGAGCCAGCTTGGCCACACGGCTGTGGATGTCCTTGCCCCGCGCCAGCGGCAGCGTCTGCAGCAGTTGCTTGTTCATGTCCCCCTTGGCATACCTCTCCTCCCGAACCCGGCGGCGGCGCGTCCACAAAACACACAAACACACACAGAAAAAAAAAGAATGAGGTAAACGCCGTTTCAATAAGTTAACAGGGTAGCGTCCATTGCAGAACGGCAAGAATAAAAAGCAAAATAGAATGCCTTTGGTAAAAAAGAAAAGCACGGAAACGCACTAAAACAAAAAATTAGCAACAAATGGAGGAGAGTAAGAAGATATATATATAGAGAGAGAGTAGAGAATCTTCTATAAAAACAATCTATGGACCGTCGCTCGTGCAGATGTCACGAGGAGACGGGTTTAAAATAAGAGAAAAGTGTTTTGGGCTGTGAGCGCAGCTGTTTCTCTATCTTCGGCTGCCTGCCGCTCCTTGCCGCCTCCACTGCGGTAGACTTCACGTTACCAGCGGGGCAAGGAGGGCTAACTTGGTCAGTGGGAGTGCTCTCGCTTGGATTTCCGTTCTGGAGGTCCGAGCGGGGGCTGCGCATCATCTCACCGCTGCGCCTGTGAAACTCCTCCTCTGAAATAACCTCGTTGGTTTCTTTATGACGGAACCGCACCACGTCTTTGCAGATGTATTCACCATCGTTAAGTACCATGTCGGTCTCCACCTCACGAACGTACTTCTTCTGGAATTCAACGACCCCGGGCCGAAAGAACCCTGTCAGCTTTGGCTGGGCCGCAGAGCCCATGCTCTCCTGCTGCCGCTGAAGGAGCTGTTTTTGCTGCTCCTTTTTTAATGCACCGGCGGTGGGCTCCGGGGCGCAAAACACCATCGGCGGTGCATCGTCGCAGAGGATGATGTCATCGTGCTCCTGAGCAGCGACGGCAACATCAAAAACAGGGGGGTCCTCATTCATAAACTCCTCGTCGCGGCGGAAAGAACTCCCCCTCGAACTGCTGTTGCTGCTGTGATGCCCCGCCTCGTCCTCCTCGTCAAGGAGGTTGTGCCGCATGGAGGCGCAAGCAACTGCCGGCGTGGGCGCACTGCCGTTCAAAACCCCGCTGTTATCTTTCGTTTCTTCGCGGACGCCCTGGCCAACTCCCTGAGGCTTTGGGTCTCTTCGCCGCTCCCACTCTTTCTACTTGTGACGCGGCGCTTCTTCGGCTTTGCCTCGGCCTCCTTTTTCGTGCCCTCCGCCGCTCGGGTGCGTTTGCCACCACTGAGCGTTTTCTTCAGGAGCTTCTCCGAACTCGTTGCGTTTGGCTGCTGGGACTCGCGCAACGGCTCCGGCTTTGGCGGCTTGGTCTCCACAGCTCCCGTGTCGAGGGCGGCGGCTGCGGGCTTCGCCGTCGTCGCCTCCTCCTCCCGCCCCGTCAGCCCCGCAGTGCCCTTCGGGGAGGCAGCCGCCATCTGCGGCGACGCCTGCGCCCCCCCGCCGCCGCCGCCCTCGACACGGGAGGCCGCCTCTTCTCGCGTCACCACGCGGTACTCCCGCCGCACAACGGCGGCGGAAGGCACCAACGAGGGCCCCGACCGCCGCGGCTCGAACCTCGCCGGGTCGCCTTGCCTCCGCAGCGCGTAGACGTCAAAGCGGGCGTCGTCAAGGGAGTCTTGAACTTTTTTTGCCTCATTGGCGTCGTGGCAGAGAAGCACCCGCTGCCGGTCGCGGTTGTCGCCGACAGTGACGGTGTACAACACCTCGTAGCCCGCCTCCGTGGCGCGGATGGCCTCGAAGGCGGCACTCACCTCCTCCTGCGGGAGATGCGCCTCCGAGGCGAGAAGGAGCGACGTCCCCCTCGCGCGTTCCAACAGCTGCGGAGTTGACATGATGTCGAGGGCGACTTCTACACATAGAAACGAGAGGGGGGGAGTAGTATGTATATGTATATGTATAGAATGGGACCCAAGGGGAAAACATTGCTGAGGCAATGCAGGGAGAAACACAAGTGCGAGGCAATTCTGCGGAGGAACCTGCAACTGGAGCTTTTTTTTCCCCCAGTGAAGGTGAAACAAAGGAATATTTTTTGCATGCGTTTTTTTTTTGATGCAGATAAATGATTTCGTTCGTTCTTTCTTCGTTTAAACTATACTCAACTATAAGAAAAAGAATGGCAGCATCTCTTCCGGGCCGTCAGCCTCGTACTGTTGCTTTACTTTTTCAAAGACAACGAACTCACGTGATTCATCCTCGTACACGCGGAGGACACTCGCGAAGTTATTGCAGCGATAGCAGTAGTTTGGCGCCGACCACACGGTGCAGACAAACTCCTCGTTAAAGTGATATGCGAACCCCTTCTGAACGAGTTGGTGGGCCCGCGCCAAAAGATTGAGGCCGTTGCGGTACAGGAACTCACGGGCTACATTTGCCCCGAATAAATGACCGGCGCCCCGCTGTGAGACGCCCCAGCCATCAACGTTTCCCGGGTCCGACCAGACGAGGTCCGAGAACGCGCCGTCGTTCGGGACCTCCTGCCGGCGCTTTAGCAGGTGGATGTGATGAATGGCGTGCACCTCCGGTGAGAGGCCGCCGTGCACACAGAGACCCCTGCCTTCTATCAGTGCCCCAATAGGCAGACAGTCGAAGACTTCCGTGCAGTGCCGCCACACATCCGCGGTCTTGAACTTTTTGTAGCACTCATCGTAGAAGCCGTAGACAGTCGACACCTGACGCGTCTCGTGGTTGCCGCGGATGAGGGTAATCTTCTCGGGGTACTTCGCCTTCATCAGGAAGAGGAAGGTGACCACCTCCACGCTGTTGAGCCCGCGGTCAACGAGGTCGCCTAGGAAAACGTAGTGCATGCTGCCGGTGCCAATTTCCCCCGCAAGGGCTAAAAAGTGCAGGAGATCCGGAAACTGCCCATGGATGTCGCCGCAAATGGTGACAGGGAGCGGCACATTCGGAACGTTGCTCTCGTAAAGAAAGAGGTTCATCACCGCGCTCAGGAGCATGCGCATCTCTCGGAGCTCAAGCGTCTCCATGCGACGGACCTTCTCCTCGAGCGCGTTCAAGTCCATCGTCCGCGCCTACAACGTTTGTCTACGCTCTGCTCTTGTGGTTATTTGCCGTCCCAGTGTGAGGGCACTTTTGACGCCGCGTGTGCGTGGGGGAGGACCACCTCTTTTCCCTGGCGAGTGCAGCTAGACAATTTTGGCAAAAAGCGGAAGAAAACTTTTTTTTCCTTTTCTCTCTCTCTCACACACGCACGCAGAGCCGCTCCCCGCCCTCCTCAGTAAGAGAGGCAGCAAGGCCACAGCATTCAATATCCACACACACACACGCACACGTCAAAACAGTGCGGGTGTGTGGGTTTAAGTCTTTGCCCAGGCGGCGTCAGTGTCGTTGCGCCCACCGAGCACTGTGAGAGGGAGAGATGATGATGAACACGCAGCCAAGAGCAAAGGTGAATAACAAGTGTATGGGGGGGAAAAAAAAAATACAAGACCAGCAACACTAAAACACAAGCACTTGTAACTCTCCAACGCCCCACACCCGGTGATGCATGTATGCATAGACAGATAAATGTACGTGCTCGCCTCTCTCCGTTCTAGAGCACATTGAGTGTGTGTCAAATTCCTTAATCGTCACCCACCACACCCGGCGTTTCATTGCCATCGCCTTCCTCTGGAATGTGCACCTCCCAGTACGCGGGGAGGCTAAACACCTCAGACGGCGTGTATTGCTCTAAGCAGCGCTCCACAATTTTCAAGACTTTCTCCAACCGCACCTGCAGTCTCTCAAAAACGGAGAGGTGCGTCACACGGAATATTTGCGAGGAAAGTCCTCGACGAAGGTGCATCACAAGTGGGAGCCGTGGCTGTGACGGCGCTGGCTCCCTGAAGCTGCGCAGAGACTCGTATGTGGACTGGCGGAAGCGGCAAATGGGAATGCGGTCCATGTCCCCAAAGAAGGCGTTCCCTTTTGGCTCCCGGTGCGAGTAGAAACTGCTGCCGTGGTCGAGAAAGGCGTACTTGGCCAAACCCAAAGTGCGCCTCTCCGCTGGGGGAGGTTGGCAGGTGGTCTTCAAGCTGCAGCCGCCGTAGACAAAGTTGTTGTGGTCGTTCATGCCGCGATCGGTGTTACCGATCAAAAAGTCAAAGACGAAGCGATCCAGGACGTCGCCGATGGCGCGAAGGCGGGAACTCTTTGGAGGCCACAGTGGATGGCCAATCGTGTAGTACTTTGCCGCAAACGCGAGGTCGTACTCGTACGGGAGCGCCAAAAACGTGGAGAGGGCTGAATGCACGTCGTGCATCCACAGTTGTATGGTCACGTAGGCGCAGAGAGAACCCTCGGCGAGCGACACGCCGGGAGAGGCGCATGGAGCAAAGTTGCGGGTGGTGTAGTTGTACTGAAAAACAAACCGCTCAATCCACTGCGAAAAAAGCGGGGAGTAGGCGGTGGCGGCCTTCATGTAGCTGAGCGGGAGTGGCAGAAAGACGGAGGTGGGGATCCGCGAGAAGTTGAGGGCGCGGTCGACGGAGAAGGCCAGAAACTCGCTCGTCGCCTCAAAGTAAAACTTCCGCTGAGACACCTTCACAATCGCCTCAATCTCGTTGTGGGCGTAGCGAACACGAAACTTGATCGTCCGCCCCTCGAGGAGGCGCGAGGACATGGCTTTGATGTAGCGCATGTTGCTCAGGTTGGAAAGGTACGACTGGCACAACGCGTCGCGCTGCGGTGTAAAGTCGGCGTTCCGCTGGTCGCACGCCTCCCACGCTTCCGAGGCTGCGGCGTGAGTGGCGTCGTACGGCAGCGGCACGCCGGGGCCCGTCGACTCAACAATGTCCGTGAAGTCGGCGGTCGGCTGGTCTGGATTCCCCGCCAGCCCCTGCACGACGCCCAAATTCGTCTCGAAAGTCCGCACGGCCTCCTCAAACTCCCGCGGGAGGCGGACGGCGGGCGGAGGCGTCGCCGGCGACGTTTGGGGGGGAAACGCGCCCGCCGGCACCCCGACCGGCGGCCGCGGCGCAGGCGCGTGGAGGAGGCTGTACTCGCCGCACAGCAGCAGCAGCAACCACGCCAGCAGCGCCCCCATCGCCCACCGCTTCCCACGCGACCACTTCGCCCGCGGATGATGACGGCGTATCATCTCCGCCCGCACCCGCTAACCCTTCGCACACGCGCAGGCGCATCAGCGGCAATGGCGAGCCAACCCATCACACAAAAGCAAAAAAAAAAAAGAAAGGTGTAGAGGCGCAGCGAGCAAGAGGGGCAGCAGAAGAGCAGGGACCCACCAGACCACGCGCACACGGAGTAAAAAGGCAAGAGGGGAAACAAGGGCAAAAAGAAAAAACAACAACAACAACAGCAGCCCGTTTTTATTTTTCTTTTCGTACACCCTTCTTCCTGATCGTGGTGCTCACTCCTCAGCGTTGTTCCTTTCCTCTTTACAGTGCACCTCACCCTTCACAGCTGCAGTCGCCGCTGCACGCCTCTTGCTGCCCGCGTCCTTCTCCGCGCCGTCGCCGCAGGAGCGGCCGTCGTCGTCCCGTTCGTCCTTCACGCCCCGCGACTTCTCCAGGCGCCGCCTCTGCAGCACCTCTTCCCGTGCCTCGGTGAGCAGCGCCCGCTCCACCTCCCTCACCTGCGCGGTGTACGCCTCGCGCTCGGTGGGCTCCGGCACGAACTCCTGCCGCCGCTGCTTGATGCCCCACCGCAGCATCTGCGATCGGCTCAACCGCGTCGACGTTTTACGTGAGGCATCTGGGGCTTTTTTACACTCGAACGTCCAATGCTCCGTCGATGCACACTTCTGACACACACGCGAGCCCACTGCCTGCTCCGTGACGCCGCGCGGGTTGCTGTACTTCTTCGGCGGCCCCTTGTCTCCGTACATCGCTACCTCGTAATAGGAAGAATAAAGGCCACCAAAGAAGGAGGAAAGCAAAAAAAAAGAAGGAGGGGATGGGAACGGGAGTTAACATCATCATCCAAAGAAAAGCTCCATTGAAGACGCCGGAGACGCGTTTCTCCCCCTCCTCCGATAGGAAAAACAGCAGAGACAGAGAGAAGAAGAGTTATATATGCGTGTGCGTGTGTCCATGCGGCGTGTCTAAGCCAGCCATCAGTGAAAAAAGGCCTCACACACCCAGAAGTGGACACAACCAGCCAGATACAGACCATTGCGTACGTTAATCATTTTGTCTTCCTTTTTTTCTATCGATGTTGTGTCTGGTGTACATTGGCTACCTCCATGCAAGAGCTACGGCTCAAGCACAATAGAGACACCTGCCAAAATAAACGTCTTCACATCTGCTTCACTCGCACATGGCAGCGTCAAGTCCATCAAATACTTCTCCTTTGTTGCGTTCGTGTAAAGCGGGACAGAAATGGAGGTTTTTGGCGCGGGTGGCTTTGACATCCATGCCACGTAAACCTTCGGCATCGGGAAGAGTGCGGGCTCGTCGGAGGTTTCGATTGGCTGCGTCACGTCGGAGCTGTCAATAATGGCCCCTTGCAGCAAAAGACCCTCCAGGCAAACTGGAAGAGGTGCCCCTTCAGGCGGGACAGAAATTGAGGTTACAAGCTGCAGGGAGACAAGTGGTTCGCGGAGGGAATGGGCGGTTTCTTGTCGCAGCGCATGTAGGAAGGTTTGCGGTCGGAAAAGGCTCGAGATGTTGAGGTCGGCTTTCAGAAGCTCGCGGCTCATTGCCATCTGACGCCACTGCACAATCGTGGTGGCGCGACGAAGCAGGGACTGCAGCCACGGCAAAATACGCGGGGATCCGTGGAAGTAGCCATCCCAGTGCGGTGGCACCTCCCCAGCGATCATGGCGGCCGCCTCCGCACGACGGTCCTCCTTCAGCAGCGCCGCGCCCTCCGTCACCTTGCGCAGTTCGCCGATGGACTCATCCACCACCGAGACCAGACGCAGGGAGGAGACCATTTCCGCCGTCAAGAAACCAAGAATGGGCGTGGACTCAGCCGGCTCCATCGCCGAGCGTGTCAAGAGATTGGAATGGGGCTGGGTCAACTCAGCCCAGGCTCGCAGCACCGGCGTCAGCCGGCTCGCCCACTCCTCCCGCGTGAAGGAGGCCGCTGCCTTAGTCTCATTGAGGTGCTGCAGATCGTCCGTTAATTGCCGCACCTTCGAAAGCTGCACAACGCGATCGGCGTTTGGTGGGAGTGAAAAAAGGGAAGGTACGTCACTCTCAGGGAGGTCTGCAATGGCCCTGACGTAGTCCGCATGCTTCCTCGTCGCTGGAACCCGGAGCGTGGCAAAAAGGCTGCGTTGCCGCTTGGCACCTGCAAGCACGGCAGGGTGAAAGAAGTGCTGGGTGTACTCCTGAAGAATACGCAGGTCAAACTCACTCTCCATACGAGCACCATAGATGGCATTCTCCAGGATGCCGCGAATCGCCTTCCAGTCGGTTTCCGCCTTCGTTTGCTGCAGAACAATGTCGGCGGCGGACTTGAGGTCGGCGGAGGTCACCTCGTACATCTTTGACCATCCCTGCGGCACATACGAGCACCGCTCCTGCACAATGGCATGAAACGAAGCGGCGATGAAAAGGAGTTCCATTTGTCGTGCTCCTTTTAACTCCAAGGCGGCGCCCTCCCATTCTTTATAGGTGTGCAAGAGATTCTGCTGCACCCCCGGTGGGGCCTCAAAGGTTATTTTGAGGCTCTGGGAGAGAAGAATGGAAGGGAATTCGTCGTGTGATTCGCTTGTGAGGAAGAGCCGAAAGCTGGGATCGGGGGTGAGCAGGTTAAACTCCTTCTGCAGCACCGGCACCCATGGAATCACGAGGTGTAGATTCTTGAGGAAGAGCCAATCACCCTTCTCGGCAGAAACCCGCAGCAGCCGAATTGCCTCGTCAGTCTGCCCACCACCCATCGCGACTTGATGAAACCGCTCACGCCCAACTCTTTGGTAGGCGAGTTCCTGAAGCTCCTGCGATGGATCGGCGCCCGCCGTTGTGATTAAAAGCACAGGCGTACTCGCTTCCGTACGCTTAATAAAGGAGGCAAGTGTCCTGCTATCCCCCCACGACTTCACGGAAAGCAGCTTGCACGCAACTCGACTCACAGCCGCGATCAGGCGATCGCTGCGAAGCGTCTTTACGATAAGAAGACGTTGAAAGTCTGTCAGCTTCATAAGGAACTCCGGGTACTCCGTCTCCGGCGTTGCCGACTGCATCCACTGCAGCCACACATCAGCCTCTTGGAGATTCATTTTAGGCGCCAGATCACGGAAAAGTACAAGCAAGGAGCGGAAGAGGTCCCGGCTGTCGGGCAGCACCCAATTCGGCACCTGAACCTCCCTCTTCCCCGCCTCAGGAGCAATGGCTCGGTCGAGAAAGAAATCCCACTCGGCGGGCTTGCACTCCTTTGGGTGCAGGGAGCGGGCGAGGTAGATGGCAAAAATCGGACGGTGCTCCTTCAGCAGGGAGATGGAGACGGAGTAGACCACAAGACGCACAAAGGTGGTCTTTAGCGCCTCAATCTTCGTTTCAGCGTCGGTGTGGTCCTCGGCGTGTCGTTGCAGCGTCTCGCGAAAGATTCCCATGAAGAAGTTGAAGGAGAACTGGTACATGTGGGAGAGACCGTTAAGGCTCTTTACAATAAAGAAGGTTTCACTGGAGGTTGTGGCAAATGGCCGGTAGACGTTGCGCTTCGCGTCAATCTCCTCCTGCACCGTTTTGGACTTTTCAAGAGCCTCACTAATCTCGGCCGCCTGCGTCTTGATTTCGTTGAGCGAGTCAATCAATGTCTTATTCTCCAGCAAAGACCCCTTGGAGTTGGCCAGCTCGCTCAACAGCGCCTCCTCCAGGCTCGCCAGCTGCAGCTTCAGAGTCTCCTCCTTCCGCAGCACCTCCAGCTTCTCCTTCTCAAGCTCCGGCTGCTCGTGCTGGATGGTTGTCCCCAGAAACTGTCCCTCAAGCCCGCTCAGAGTAATGGAGAAGTTGATTGGGGTCAAGTAGCTCAGCACATCCGGCGGAATGCGCAGGTCGGTGGAGGGCGTAACGAGGTAAAGCTGAAACCCGTCGCTGTAGTCCACGGTGCGGCGGTCACCAATTTGAATCACCCGCTTCGACCCCTCCATTTGCAGTTCCTTGCGAAATAATGGATACATAAAGGACTCAATGTGGTCCACGTCCGTAATAACAAAGCTTTTACCAAAGCGAAGGGCCAACTCCAGCGCCGACACGAGACGTACGTCAGAGACGCTGCAGACGTCCACCGTGATTTCCCGCCCCTTCAGATTACTCAGTAACCAGTTGACAGCCTGGCCAGAGCCATCGATGATAAGTGGCGTGGTGACCTGCTCCTGCATGATGACGGCGTTGTCCATCGAAAGTTCATCGCCAGGAAGCCCTTCCGCCTTGTAGTGCAGCTGCATACTCTCTGGACGGAGGAAGGTAAAAAAATTGAAATCCTCGAGTTGTTTCATGCGCTCCTTCCATCCCTCCAACGTGCGACGACGCACCTCCTCCGCCTCGTTGCCCAAGTACAGCACAAACGCCGCCGCGAGTAGGCAACGCTTTGGAAGGAGGTGCTGATCAGCTTGAATGGCTTTACTTTGCGTCGCCCATCTGGCATGCTCGCTCGCAAGCTTTGAAAGAAGGTCATGCGCACTCTGGTACAGTTGCTCCGCCTGCTCCAAACTGTCTTTTAGCCGTTCCGCCTCCGTCGTCTTCTCTGCAAAATTCTTTTTAAGCTCCTCCACACGCTCCTCAACCTTGGAAAGCTTCATCTCATACTTCTTCTTCTTCTCGTTGCCACTCCGCAGGTTGGCCTCGTAGCCCTGCAGCTCATCCCGCATGGGAGCCACCGTCTGCAGCACCTTGCTGTATGCCACCACAGCCTTGAGCCACTCTGCCATCGGTGCGGCGGCCTTCGAGGCGCGCCCAATCACCTCGCGCCGGAAGGAGTTCTCGTGGCCCTGAATAAACCGCTCCAACTTCCCGCGCGACGTCTCGTTCACGTTGTCGAGGTCAAAGTTGAGAATGTCATTCTTGATGTCGCCGGCGAGAACCTTGCGAATGACCGCCCAGTTGATCTCCGTCACGGAGTTGCTCGCGATGAGGACGACGACCCCCTCCATCACGTCCTGGACGGCGGCTGGCGGCTGCTTCATCGACTTCAACTCGGCGAGGTGCTCGGAGCGAATGGAGCGCACTGAGGAGAGGGCCGCGTCGAGCGTTGGTTGAATGCCGCTGAGGCGTTCCTCAATCACGCGCTTGCGCTCCTCAATGGCTCGCTGCTCCTTCTCCAGGCTACTCTGGATTTTTTGGATATTTTTTTTCTGGTCTCCGGCCTCCTCCATATTTGCCTGAATCTGCTGCAGCGCCTCGTCCGCCTCCCGCTGCTTCGCCTCCATCCGCGTCTTCTTGTCAGCCACGTCCGTGGCAATCTGGTCCACATTCTCCTTCGCCTCGTCCAGCTTTGCGACGCCAGACCGCAGACGCTCGAGGCTCTCCGCGATGGCGCTGCTCTTCTCGTTGAAGATGCGCTGGTAGGTGAGGCAGAGGGTTTTGAAGTGCTGCGGGGAAAACTTGTCGGCAAACCCGCGGTGGATGTGCACAATCTCTGTGGTGAGGCTAAACTCCTTCCTGTCCCCGCGGGTGTCGAGCGCCTTGAAGACGTCACGCATCATCAGTCGCGGGATCAGCTTGAGGCTGTCGCTGTACCACGTCCCCATCCAGTAGACGTTGCAGCGGGTGAAGAGGGCAGGGTTGGAGCGGCACCGCAGCTCGTAGCTCGGGTTCGTCGGGTCCATCACCACACACACGTGCAGCAGGCGGGTAATGCGATCCACAAAGTAGGCGTACGGGCTCATCCCTTCCCCGTGGGCCTCCTCCCGCAGCGGGGCAAGCAGGGCCTCCTGCTCCTCCTGCGTAAACAGTCCAGGGATCTCGCCCGAGGAGAGAAGCGAGTTGACGCACTCCAAGAAGAGTGGGTTGTGGCTGAAGTGGTGGTCCTCCAGCAGCAGCACAACGTGCTGGGCCTCGAGGCCAACCTTGCACAGCACGGACTTCAGCTCCGCGTAGAACTGCTTCATCCCGTACTCCCGCGTAATCGACAGCGTCATCACCTCCATGCGGAGACTGTAGGCGACAAGGCGAATGATGGCCCTCTCGCACACGCCGGAGCGTCCAACGAGCAGCAAGTTCCCCCGCTCCTGCGACAACACACGATCCACCCGCGCGACCCAGGCACAGACCTCCGGAATCAGCTGCACATCCAACTCGGTAAACTCCCTCGAGTAGGTGAGCAGCAGCTCCTCCGCCGACTTCCGAAGGCCATCCATGCCCGTGGAGGTGAGCTTCCTCACCCGCGACGTCGTGGCATCCATCCAGGAGACGTAGTACACCGTCTCCTTCTCCGTGATCCCCGACCGGTGGCCGACGAGGAAGAGCAAGTTGTCGTAAATCAACTTGGCAGACTTCGTCCGCTCCTCAGGTGAAACGAGGCGGTCGACAAAAATGCGGCGTCCCTCGTAGCCAATGGCGTCTGGGACATCCACCGAGTTGTAGTTGAGTAAATTCAGGGCCCACATCGTCACGTCACGCGGGCTAAAGATGTAGTGCGAAGCCACATCCACTGTACACCGCGTGGCAATCATCTCGTACACCGTTGTCATGACGCGTGCAATGTCCGCCGCGCCTTTTCCGGGTAGCTCAAACTTGAGCTTGTGGCTTTGAATCATGATGTTGAAAAACTCGGAGTAAATGGTCTGCATAGAGTCCCGCGAGGGGTACGACATGCAAAGAACCGACACAATGGCAAGAAAGCGAGGCGCAACGGGGTACCGGCCCATGCTACCAGGCGGATTCATGCTGCCAACAATCTGCACACGCTCAACGGTGATCCACTCGAGGTCGGTGTCATAAAACCCACTGTAGAGGATAATTTGCTGCAGCAGAGAGTGCAGCTGCACCGTTCCGTACTTGTCCGGCTTCGGCAGGTTCATGTCCTTCAGCATTAAGACAAGGCGCTCCGCCTCCTTCGGCCGCAGCACGCGTCCCTGGTTGGTGTTAAACATTTGACAGGTTTGCTTTAGTTTCTGAATGAGGTGAATAGCCTCCGTCTGGGCCGAGCAGTTCACCGTCGCCACGCGGGTATTGGGGATCCCCGCGAACAAGTTGGTGAGCAGCATCGTCTTCCCGCAGCCCTCCGGACCAACAAGAATAAATGGACGATACACGCCGGGACGGAGCGGCCTCGTCCAGGCCCGCATAATTTCCATGTTGCGCTGGCACTCAATTGTGGCAATCATGGGGTGCCGGTAAAGGTCCTCGACCGCGAGGTCAAAGGCCGGCTGGAACTCGAAACTGTTGTAGCCGCCATGCTGCGTGTCGTAGTAGATGTCCAGCGGGTGCTTCATATTTGGCGCACGCTCCCCTGTCATGTGGTGAATGTCCCTCGCATACTCCCGACGGTTTTCTTCGGGAAGGTACGACCCAAGTCCGTAGACGAGCGCCAGGGTAAATTGCTCCTTGTTGCTGCAGCACTGCAGCTGGCTGAGGCCCGAGGCGACAAGACCCGTGCGGGTCGTGTCAACAATGAGGTTGTCCGTCGCCAAGAGGTTGTCAATAGCCCTGTAGAAGAACTCGTCGATCCAGCCCCGCATTTCGTTGCGCGACTCCTCCGGCTGCTCCAGCAGCCAGGAGGCGACCATCGTCTTCGGGTTCACGTCCTCCTCTGAGAGGTAGATAATCCCCATGCGCGAGACCGTGGCCGGGGAGGCAAACTCAAGGCTGTGGGTCTCAAACAAGAAGCTCACATTCTCGCCAAATTGAATGCGCACCCCATTTGGCATCGTCAAAAGTTTGTTGTCGTCCAGCACCGAGTTTAGCGACTCCACCCACTCCGGGTCCACATCCCCGTCGCAGACAATCCACGAACGCACGTCATTGTCCTCCTTCACCACCTTCTTTGCCGCCTCTGTCAGGACGCCGTCAAACCACTCACGGGTGTCGTTGTCCATGTGGCCCAGCAGCTGCGTGCGCGGCATCGCCTTGGGGTTCACCACGTACAGGGGGACAGAAACACCAAGTCGCTGCAACGCTCGTCGAAGCACGCGAAGGAGTGTACTCTTCCCACTCCCGCCAGGGCCAACCAACACGACTCCCATGCGCTGCTTTAGCGCCTCATACAGTTGAAGTATTTTTTGCACCTGCGACTCCACAAGCTGCAGCTTTAACTCCTCCACCGACTCCACAATGGCGGGGTGCAGGTCGGTGTAGTCGATTTCCTTGATGGGAACGCCCGGAAAAACGTCCGCGATGAGATGGTTAAAAAGTATCGCATCGTCAAAAGTCAGTTTGGAGAGCGTGTTGACGCGAAGCGACTTGATCAGAATCTCACTCTCCTTCTCCAACACCTCCGCCGAGGTTGGCCGCAGCTTGCCCCCAACACGGTCCATCAAGTACTGGTGAATCAGTGAGCCCCCAAGCCGCATGACAGACTTCATCGCACGGAGGCCCCAATCATAGTGCTGCTGGTGAGACAGGAGACCCGCGGCAAGCTTAAATATCTCCACCGTTCTCTTGGCCAACTCCGTTGCATTTTCGAACCCCTCGCTGAAGAGTATAGTCTCCATAATGAGCTCGTTGTCGGGGGCACTCATGGCGACGGAGCGGAACAGCTGCTTGAGGTTGTCCGGGAGCTTGCTGCGCCCACCGTAGCGCTTCCCCGCGGGGTTCATTGTGACAAAGATGCCAGCATTGGGGTTAACGTCAATGTCGCGCCCCAGCAAGTGGCAGTGGGACTCGCCGTTCTTGAGGGCCTCCTGAATTACCTGAATCATCTGCGACACCGCCGACAGCTGATCCACCTTCAGCCGGTTAAACTCGTCAAAGCAGCCCCAGGCACCACATCTAACCAAACCGGTAAAAATACGCCCCATCGACTTGAAATCAATGCCCTCATCGCAGTTGAAAACCAACACCTGCCGTCCCATTGCATTTCCAAGGGCCTTGACGGACTCCGTTTTGCCCGTGCCTGCGGGACCATAGGGATTCCCGCCGTAGCCAAGCTGCATGCCCTGTGTCAGGGTCAGGTAGCAGCGGTCCGTTAGCGGGGTGTGCACAAGTTTCGGGGCGTTACCCTGGTACTCGTAGCTGTATTTAAACTCCGCGTCCACCATGCGCAGGACGCAGTTGTTCTCGCAATCCAGGTAGTATCTCAGTTGCTTTCTCCACAGCCAGTCGTTTTCCTTTTCAACGCCGTTCTGAATGAGCGTTTCCACAACCTCAATGTTGTGAATAAGGTCCATAATGAGCGATTTCAACTTGAGACCCACAACCACGTCACTGTTGCTGCCGGCGAACACAGTCAGATCACGCAGCTGTGCTTGCAGGTTCGCTTTGTGCTTGGCAAGGCCACCCGTCTTCGCCCCACGAATGGCCTCTTCTGTCTTTTTGGTGAAGTCAAGCAGCGCGGCGGTGCAGAGAATTTGTGTAGAGTACGCCCCAATGTCCAGCTTCCCCAGGCATCGCACCAAATGCGTCCGAAGTGTGTCCTTCATCGCAACGTCTAATTTCGCTAGCCACTCCTCCACCTCGTCGGTGATGTGCACGGGCTCCTCCAGCGGCACCGTCTCTCCCTCCAGTGAATGAATCTGCAAGATGTGCTCCTTCTGCGTGTCAAAGCGGACGCTGTGGATGCCCATAAAAAGCTTCTTCAGATGCGACTGAATCACAAGGGGGTTGCGGCTTTGGGCAAGAATTTCAAGTAGGTCGTCGTCGCTAATGAAGTAAAAGCGCGGAAAGCTGTCTCGTTTTGCCTCAAGGTACTGATTGAGCGCTCGCTGACAGCGATCGAGTTGCTCCAAAACGTTGCGCAGCACCTCCTTGTACTCCGTGTGGGCTGCGAGGGAGACAAGGCGGCTGTCCCTCGCAATGGTGCTCATCACCTGCAGGTACTCCTTGTCAATGCGGGCAAACCGCTCCTGCTCCTGCGGCAGGGCCCCACGGCGAAAAATGGGCTCAAGATACACCCACTTGCGCTGAATTTGATTCATGCTGCGGAGGTACTCGTCGAGGCACGCCAGCCGCTCCTCCCACTTGTTGGCGTCGTTGGCGAAGATGCTGAAGTACGGGGACTCCTTCATACTCAGCAGCAGGGCCTGGTTGTCGCTGAGGGCGGAGAGCGTATCCTTCCACTCCGTGATGAGCATCACACCGGGCCGCTCCGTGTGGGCGCAAAGCGTAAACGTTGCATTCATGCCCCACGATCGTACATCGTCGAGGGCCTCCCGAATCTGCGCCTCCCCCTGCGCGCGGGAGTGCAGCTTCTTCAGGTCCATCTCACGCCGCATAATGGTCTCGTGGCGGGAGAGGATGTCGCCAAACTTGAGCGTGTCTTGTGTGGCGTTCGGGGTCCCGAGCAGGTGGAACAGTTCCACCCAGTGCCCCGGTGTAAACCCGTCGCCGCGGACAAACTTAAAGAGCGGCGCACACCGGCTCCAGGAGTCAAGAAGCGTACGAATTTGAACGGTGATGGGGTTGGTGGGAATTTCTTTTAGTTTCTCCTGCCAAACCTTCACAAAGTCCTCAAAGCGGTACAGCTTCGCCCGCAACGCGAGCCACGGCTCATTCTGCAACACCGCCAGCTCCTCGTGAAAGGTTCCCATCATGCTCCACATCAGCGCATACTCCTCAATGTCGCGTCCGAGGTCGTGGAGCGGCTCCATGTCGGGCTCCTCCAGCTGAAAGTACTTGCACTGCTGAGCGCACTCGTTCCCTTCCGCCTCTAGCGCCGCAAACTGCTCCTGACGCTCCTTCACAAACGACACCGCGTTGGGTGCGTCCGCCGTTTTCGGCTTCAGCTCATGCCATTGATTGGTAAACCGCTCCAGTTTCTTCTGCCAAGTCTTCACGGACTCCTCAACCACGCCCTTCAGCGTGTTCATCTGCTCCTCCAGCTCAGTCTCGTAGGTGTCGAGGCGCCGCATCACGGTGTCCCACCGCTCCCGCGTCTTGGCAAACTGGAGGCCAGCCTGACTGTTCATGCTCTGCAGGAGCACATTTTTATTGTAGAAGTGGTAGAACTCAACCTCCATCGCAGGTCGCTGCTCCACCAGGTAGGCGTGGCGAACGTTGGCCGCACCAATTTCGTCCATCTTCGTCAGCTTGGCGTCCAACGACTCGGAGACCGCCTCGAGGTAGACATCAATGCGCCGGAGGTGATTTTCGGCGCTGCGACGCAGCGTGACACGCAGCGCCTCGGAGAGTTTGTAGAGGTGGTCCTCCACGGTGCTCTTAATACTGGCCGTGCAGAGTGTGATGCAGCCGCACTTAATAAAGAGGTCCTCCGAGTTGATTTCCTTGCCCTTTTGCTTCAGCAGCCGTATGCCTTGCTCCCAGTGCTGCACCTCAGTTAAGGTCTTACCCACAATCGCCTCAAGCGTGGGATTTCCACCTCTCCCACACTGCCCAATGACCAGTAATGGGTTGAAGCGTTTCAGTTCCTGTTGAACCTTCTTGAAAAGCTGAGAGGCGTGCTGCATGACAGCAACGATACCACGCTCGTTGCGTGCAGGCATCTCTTTAAAAAATTCGTTCTCACCGCACCCGCGGAATCGCAGCGGGAAAGTCATAAACTCCTTGATGCGCTGGTAGTACTGTCCCCGGATGGCCTCCAGCGAGGGTCGCAGTGCCGCCAAGCCCGTTTCCTGATCATACACAATGTCAGCCTTCATCTCGGTCAGAACCTCGTGCAGGCTCTCCAGCCCCAGCTGATACTGGTACTCCATGGCCTTGTACAGCTGCACGTCCCAAAAGAGCTTCCACGCCTCCATGTTTTTAAACCCAGACGTCTCCATTTTTTCACGGATGACGTGCACCTTCCCCATCCACCGCTCACGCGCACGCAGCAGGTCCACGCTGAAGAGCTCCACCACGATGGACCCAATCTCCTTGTGCAACCGATGCAGACGGCGGTTGTCATCGGTTAGGGCCTGAGACGCCTTACACAGTTTCCCAATAAATCGCTCCGCGTCTTCCTTGTTTCGCCACGTCAGCTGACGATCGCCGCTTGCCGTGATGATGCGCTCAAAGGCCAACGCCGGCTCCAACAGCATGGCGCGTGTACAGGGAATAATATCCTTCGTCATGGAGTTGTACGTGCTGGCAATTTGCTTCAACGACACACCATTGCGGTAAAAGCGAACACCCTGATCCACCATTGACTGAATCTCACGACTGACGCGAAGGCCGAGGCCCCGAAATATGCGCACTTCTCTAATAAGCTGCACCAGGCGTTCGGGGTAATTCACCTCCACGCGCCCACTCTCGTCAATCTCCATCAAGGGTGCGTTGGCATCGAGCATGAGGGCGTGCCTGTTGTCCTCCACATCCATCGCCCAGTGCTTGCGGGACTCCATCTCGTAGTCGCCGACCTCATCTAGCAAGGTGGCTGCCGCCTGGACAAACTCCTTGGCGCTCTGCAGGTCGAGGAGAAGCGACTTGCACATGTGAACCATCTCCTCCACCCGACCCCGCAGCTGACGAAGCCAAATCATGTTGTTCACCACACCGGGCATAAACCGCCCGGTCTGGCAGCGGCGGTCCTCGTCCTCGAGAAAGACGTCATCCTCGGTGCTCTCCGCGCGGTGCTCAAACTCCAGACGGATGCTCTGGAGCCGCTCATTCAACTTGGCCAGGAGCGCCTCCCGCTCATTCACAAGCTCCTTCGCCACAATAGGCCGCCGAATAAGCTGACGGAACTTCACCACCTCATTGAGGATTGTCTGCGGGGCCAAGTTGCCGCGCTCGCCGAAAAAGTCGCGCAGGGCGGCGGCGCATCGGTGCTCAATGGGCTCCAGCCGCCGGTAGAAGGCGCTCAGGCCAGCCTCCCACTGCTCCTCCACCGCGGGCGTCGTTTGAAAAATGTCAATGCTCTCCATTGACTCCCACAGCGCCTCCCGGCGCAGCGACGGTAGCTCACCAGACGCGGTAAACAGCTCCACAATCTCGTCTGCCAAGTCACGAAGAGAGGCGACGACGCGCAACCTGTCGCGCACGCTTCGAAGCTGCGGATCCTCAAAGTGGCCTCCCCACACGGCGCCCCAGTCAATGGTGGTCAACTTTTGGCACATGTTAACCCAATCGTCGCAGCAGCTTAGGGCCATCTCTGTGGCACTTTTGCCGCCGCTAAAGATGCCTCCTGCCGCGATGGTCTTCTTTGAAAAGTACTCGCGTAGTCCGGAGCCAACCGTCGTCATCAGGAAGATGGCCTGCGAGCGAGCCCGAGCGTCTTGGGCACTGTCAGTCCAGAAGTCATTTATCGCCAGCTGTGCGTCCTCCAGCAGGTCCACAACGTGGTTTGGCTCCAGCTCCTCAAGCTTGTCCCACGACTTCGGCAAGACGGTGCTGGCAAAGGAGGAGGTACACATTGACCCCAGGACCTCGTCAATGTTTTTGGCGTACACGCGGAGCTTCACCACATCGCCCGCCTCCGCGGCGAGGGAGAAGAGCACGTACCCGGCAACCACAACGTCCCGCCGCGGGGCACCGTTAGCGGTTAGGCATTTGGGAAACTCCGTCAACGCGTAGGCCTGGGCGTCGGAGTGCTTCAGGAGGTAGCGGAAGTACGTGGCCTCCGCCACCGCGGTGAGTGCGGGGCTGTCGTCCGGCAGCGTGTCGAACTGGAAGTTGCGCACGCGAACCACATCTGCGAAACGCACTGACTGGAGCTCCTTCCGGGAATCGACGGAGACGTCGGCTGAGCCCACCTTCGTCGTCCCCTGCTCGGAGCCGCAGGCCGCCCGCACCAACTCCGTGAAGAGGGAAGCCGACACCTTACCCAGCTGATCGCCGCCCGCGGCAAACGTGAAATGCACCGTCCGGCCAGAGCGCTCTGTGCACTCCACGGCAAGCCCCAGCCGCTTCGTCAGCGCCTTCTCGGTGACGGCAACGCAGTCCTCTGCCACAGCGGAGTTGAAGCGAGCCATCGCCACCGCGTGGGTTTTCCCCTTCTACAGTAACCCCACCCACCCAAAAAGAGAATAAAAAAAACTCACACTATTGTCAGGTGCAGTTGAGTGCGTTTTCTCCTGCTGTTTGTTTGTTTTTTTTTTTACTCCCCCTCCCTTTTGGCCTTGGTTTTGTTTCTCCACTAATTCCTTTGCTCTTTTGTTGTTCTTGTTGTTCTTGTTGTTGTTGTTTTGTTGGTTTCCTCTTCGTTTTGTGTGGCTCTACCCCCCAGCATTCGGGCCCCCGCAAAGGGGCGGAGGAAAGCGCAGAAGCGTGGGGCACGCGCGGCAATGCGGTGAAAATATTTTAAGGAAAAACAAAACACGTTTGGAGGACACGCAAAGCGTCGTTTGCAGACGCCCGTGACGGTGTGCCAATCATGCGAAGAGGGAGGAGGGTGAGGCGTAAGGAGAAAAGCAAAGCAAAGTACAACAACAAAACAAAACTAAAAGGGAAGGCGGGGGGACTTCCGCGCCTCACGCGCCCCGTCAGTCGGGCCCCTGCGCCACCGCCCGATCCCAATGCCTCGTGTTCGCGTCAAGCGCCACGCCCGCCCTACTCGGTTCGTGGCGCGGCAGGACTCGGCGCCATCATCTGCGTTACAGCGCCCAACAGCGTCGCCGCACAGCGCGCCATGTCAATGTGTTGGCACCGCACAACATGCAGCAGGCTGTCATCCGACGAGCGCAGCAGCCAAAACAGCAGCGGGAGACCCACGACCTCCCGGGCAATCGCGTCCTCGTAGACGGGCGACGCCCGCCGCCGCCTCATCAGGGTTGGCAGGTCAACGCCAAACAACGTCTCCCCAACCTGCGCAAAGCCAACCGCAGACACCGCACAAAGGCCGTCCGACAACTCCAGCCGCACAAAAAAGCGCTCCTCCATAGTGCAGCCACCACACGCGGCGCACGAAGAGGCGTTTCCGCGCATCTGCCTGCCGCAACCCCGACAAGCCACGTACGTAAGAGGAGTTCGTACGCGCTGTATTTTTGCCAACACCGGCAGCGACTCGGAGGCTTCCTCTAGGCCAAGCACCACCTGCAGTGCATCGCTCTCGTCCCGGTTCACAGGCTTCGTTGTCTCTGTGCGGTCCACAGGCAACACAGGCGCCTGCGACGTCGGCGCCATCCTAATGGCCGCGCTTCCGTACCTGCTGGAAAGCGTGAGCCGTCGCATAAACTCACCGACGAGAAACCCACACAGACACCACCGCTCCCCAACAGCTGGCGTGACGCTCCGCGAAAACTCGTCCCAGAGAGTCACTTCGATGAGGCAAGAGGAGGTGGGGGGTGCGGTGGCGTCCTGTAGCGAGATCGCCGTGCGCTCCACCTGCCCCCGTTTGGTATTTACCAGCGTCGTGGGCGACACCGCCGCCACCACCCCCTCCACCGTCGCGACATCCCCAATGCCGCTGCGTTGGGTAACCTGCGTCACCGACATCGCACCAAACATCCGCGAGGGGTGGGTTGGAATGGCGTCCCCCGCCTCCGCCGCACACAACACACCAAAGGAGCGCTCGCTGAGCTGCAGCCGCAGCGCATCTTCGGCTCCACCGCGGTTTGTCAGGCACCCATTCGTCGCGCAGACGCAGTCTCCCACTGAAAACATGTCGTGCAGGGCAGAAGGTCCTGCGCAAGAAATATAAATCGCATCACCGTTGTTGTCCACACCTATGCAGTCAAATATAAACCGCGTTGCTGAACCGCTTGCCGGAAGCTGCCGTTGCCTTCCTTTCCACACCATGCGCAGAGGTAAGGCGTAGTCGCCCAATCCATGTCCTCTGGCCTCCACAAGGTCGATAAGGCTCAGCCTCGGATACTCCTCAGCGGCGCGGGAGCGGCAGGGTTTGACGGCGCCCCGTCGCTTAGTAAGCGACTCGGTTGACAGGTTAAAAAGTGCGGCGTCAAAGACCGGGTTCCCTAGCAGCGACAGCTCCGTCGCTGAATAACTGATCGAAAGAGGCACAACCACGTTCAGTCCATTCCTTGCCGTCACGACGCTATACTCGCTCAGCATGATACAGCAACCCACCTCAATTTGAAAGGTGTCAATCAGCTCCTCCATCTCGCTTCCAGGAGGGATAACGAGCCAAATGAGTGAGGCTGAGTCAGACGCGGCAACGTAGAAGCGCGGCACCTCAAACGGATCTGTCACAAGCTTTGGATACCGCTGAATGTCCACCACCTGGACCCTCGGCGAGGGCCAGCGCGAGACCCAGCTCCCTCCTGCCCCGCGCGGGAGGCCGCCCGCCAGCGCGCACGCACAAAATCCCTCTGACAGCGCGTCCATATATACGCTGCGGCCCTATTTATACTTATCTGTCTCTTTGGTTTTTCTGTGTGTTTTTGTACCAGGGAAATGCCTGCTTCCGCACCGCCTCTCCCCCTCCACCCGCCTGTCTGTCCGTCTGTCTGTCGACCGCCTCTGCAAGGAATAGTAATAATAATAAGAATGTACGGTGCGGGAGCAAAGTCTAAATTAAGTAATGAAGAGTTTCATGGGTCAACAGCAAGCAACAAACACGCATATCCGGGAATCCTCCTGTTCTCTGATCACGTATTGTTGTTGTTCCTTGTTGTTGTTGTTGTTTTCCATCCGCCAATAAAAAATGGAAACAACGGGTTTTTTGCTTTGTCACTCCATGAAAAAAATAACAATAACAATAATAATTTGTCTTCGGCTGTCCCGTTCCTTCTTGGCAGATACTTGCTTGCAGGTATGCAACTATTCCCACGCAGCAGACACAAGACGAGAGAAAAGGCAGGACTGTCGTGTTATCTCTGGGCCATCACGCCATCCATGGGCCACTGCCGCGGTTCAACGGATCTGGCCACCGGAGAAACTTCCGGCCGCGTCCTGCCCTGGTACAAGTCGGGCCGGTAGAGTGAGGGCGAGGAGAGGGCCAGTGTGCTGAGAAGCTCCCGCAGCAGCGGGGAGGACTCACGCCGCGGCTGCTCCTCGCCATGCGACGCTCCGCCACTCCCTCTGAACGCGGGCGTCGGGGGAACGGCAAGCACCTCCGCCGCCGGGGAGGTTCGCATGGAGGCGTGAAACACGTCCTCCGTCTCCTCCTCGTGGCGGATGTACGGGGCGTGGGACGGCGGCCGTGGCTGAGGAGAAGCGACGGGGTACGTCGCCATCGGCTGCGTTGTGGACCTGCGCGGACTCGGACGCCACGATGACGCACTACTTTGCGGCGACAATTCCCTGCCAAAATGAAACGCACCTTCCCGGCGTTGCAACTCCTCCTTGTAGTCCCACCCCAGCTGCCCCATCGCACTTCGGTAGGCCGGTGTTGGCTCTAGCGCGAGCCGCGGTGAAAGTTTCGATCCTTCGGTGCCATTCCGCGGCTGGGCGCCACGGTGGTGGCCACGCTTCGGCGCGGGACTGTTGGCACGAGCCGCAGCGGAGGACTCGGCGTGTCTCCTTCGCAGCGTCATCGACCGCGTCGTTGCGACCGAGTTTGGCTTTGACGCCTCCTGCCGTCGATTGCGCGCACTGATGCTACGCAGCGGCTGCTGATGCCAGCGTGCGGGTGCTGTCGCCGGCGCCTCACTGAAGGCCCTTGCCGAGGCCGCGAGCGCGTCCTTGTACGCCCGAAGTGCCCCAGTGGGCGTTTTCCGCAGATTTGGCGAGGGCGGCGGGGGGCGATGAATGTACTCTCTAAGCACGCTTCGCGCCTCGTGGTAGGTGACGCGGTGCGTCTTCAGGCGCCGCTGCCGCCGAACGGGCGCAGCCGCCGTCCATGGGTTCCGCCGCCCCTGCTGCACCCCAGAGGCCACCTCGCCCAACTCCCTGCGGTACTGCTGCAGCGCCGTCAACTCCTGGCGGTGCGGCGGCGCATCGCCGTGGCGGCCGCCCTCGCCCTTTACCTCCTGAGCGGCGAGGCAGGAGGCGGATGACGCCTCGGCGTTTCTCGTCCTCTCCGCCCGCGCGGCCGCCGCCAGGAGGCGCTGCTGCCGCTCCTCACGCATGTGCAGGCGCCACGCCTTGAGCTCTCGTTGGATCCTCCCCTCCGCGTCCTCCTCCTCGCTCCCCTGCCCCTCCCCCACCCCCTCAGCCCTGTCTCTGCTCGTGGGTAGCCGCCCTGGCTTGACGAAGTCGTACGGCATGGACGCTGTGGTTTCCTTCGCCGCACCTCTGCCAGGCTGCGGACAAACGTGCCTCCGCGCCTGCGTTGGCCCCTCGTTGCGTTTTCCCACCCAGCGCTGCTACAGACACCCCTACGCGGGTCTATAGTAAGTCGACCGCGCGAAACCAGAACAATCCACGAAGGTTTAAAGCAACAAGAACAAAACGCACCCCCACAAGCAAGAGATAGCGGAAGAAATGAAGAGAGAAGCCACCGAGTTGTGTTGAAGGGAGTAAGTGACTGCAGCAGAGGCAAAGGGAATTATTTTTTCTCGTTGTTTTTGTTGTTGTTGTTGTTTTTTTATTAGTTCCTTTTTTATTATCGCCCTCTCCGGTACGAAAGGCTCAGACGCAGGACAAATGAGGACTCTACGTCGTGATGTTTTTCATTTCTCTAGTTATTCATCTCCGTCCATAACACGGTGTGCTTACACACAACATCAGCTTATTTATCCCTTTGCTAAAAGTACGCACTCGTGCTGCACGCCCTCCCTGTCCTTTGCTTCCTCCTCCGCTACTTCCAAAGGAGATTGAGGGCCTTCCGCCGGACGAGGTAGCGTGCCACACAGGTGAGAACGCCAAAGCCGCACGTCAGCGTTATTAGGAGGTTTTTGTTGAAGTCGCTATTGAGGAGGTCGAACGCCTTCCCCGAGGAGGCGCGCACGTAGAAGATGTCCAGCCCGGACACCAACACGTGGCAGGAGCTCTCCAGATTGGTGGGTGCGGTGGCAATCAGTTTCGGCTTCGCCACCCGGTACTTGTGCGACGCCAAGGCAGTGCTCGGGATGATGACGTGCGTGGCTTGATTGCCCTGGTCATCAAGAGGAACCTGCCCGCCCGCCAGCAGCTTATTCAGCTCCACCGTGGCGACACGGCCAGAGTCAAAGGCGAGAACAATGCTTTTGCGGGCAATGCCGTGGAAGGATGTCGTGACACCCATCGTGGCAAGGTTTCCGCCGTACACGCCGAGGACGGCAACCGTCACCGCGGGTGGGCGCGTGGCACGTGAACTGAAGGTCCGTTTGAAGCGGAAAAAGGAGGCAATGACCTGCGGTATGGTGGCGCCAGCATCCTTGCGAAGGGCTTGGCCAGGCTCCTCCTCAAACATTTCCCACACGCCGAGACAGTGTCGAACCTTCTCCATGTCCATGTAGTAGTACAGGACGGCGTGCTCTACTAGAACCAGGTGCACAGGGCCCTCCACGTTGCGGTGACGCACAGTCGCCAGCACACTTCCGGTGACGGAATCAATGGCGGTGACGACGAGCGTCGTCAACTCCTCCTCTGAGGGTTCGTAGTGGGCAACCGCGATGACGTTGCGTGTGGGATACTTCCGGTGAACCTCATCCGTCTTGCTAGTCTTGTTTGGAAACACGCGTAGCTGATTCACCGTCGTCGTGCGGAGCACATCCTCCCCCGTGGCGTAGGCAACCAACGGGTACGGCATGCGCACGGTCCAGAGTGGGAGCACCTTGGAGGTCGCGGAAACCACATACCCCTCGATGAGGCCACTGGTGAGGTTGGATGTGAAGAGGTACACGTTGTCCGAGGGCACGCTGCCGTGCAGCTCCAACGACCGCGTGACCTCAAACGTTGGCGCGACAACCAGGGAATTCTCGTGTACCTTGACCTCCGTCACAGACCCGGTGGTGATGTCAACGGCGAGACCCACGCGTCTTACTGGAGAGGCGGCGACGACGCCGAGAACGTTTGGCCCTGCAAGAACCATTTGCTCAATCCTTACAGCATCCATGGAAGGCGCTGCCGTGCTCCCCACCAGAACGCCGGAAATATCCGCTAGCACGCGGATGTTGTGCCCCATCTCCGCCACCGGGATGACATATATCACGCCATAGGTAGAGACCGCCAAGGCCATCTTGTTAAAGGAAAAGTGGTCCTCCTTCTCTGGGTTGTCGGCGATGAGCGTGGCGGCGAGGTGCGCCAGCCCCTCTGGTCGCTCCCACAGCAGCTTCCCGGCTTTCTCGGACACCGCAAGAAGGTGCCCGTTGGCCGTACGAAGAATTGCCGTTGCGCCGCCCACTGCATCCTGCACGGCGAGGAGGACAGCTGGGGCAAGCGCTGTGGTGGAGTTGTACGCAACACGGACGCTCGAGCCCGGGAAGGAGACCGTGAAACCGAGTTTGTCGGCCGTTGTTCTCACGCTGCCCTCAAAGCTCCCTCTGGCACCGAGCAGCAAACCGGCGCCACACTTGTCGCAGGCAACGGCGTCCGTCTTTCCGGCGTCCCGCACGACGGTCATCGTTGTGGCGGAGAGTAGAACCGCATCCCCGGAGGCCGCGCTGCCGCCGCCGTACGCGCCGCCCTCCACGTCCGTCGCCTCGACGTCCCCAGTAAGCGAGTAGCGGGTGGCGCTCGCCGGTCGGAGTGCCCACACGTGGTTCCCGCTGAGGCGGAGCCCCTGCACGTCGGCCCCAATAGAAAAGTTACTGCCGGGCCCGAACATCTCATCCTCCGTCGCCAGCCGAAACTGAAACAGGTAGGCGGTGGCCGTGTCCATGGCAGCCACCCGCACATTTCCCCCCACAATGGCGCAGGATTCCACGCTGGCGGCAGCCGGCAGGGAGAGCTTGAACGTGGTCTCAATCTCCCCGGTTGCGGCGCTCAGGAGATACATCGTGCCCGCGCGGGAGGAGACCAAGACGCCACCCCTGCCCGCCGTGACGCACACCTGCGGCTCGGAGAACAGTCTCCGCCACTGCAGGCCTCCGTCGCCGAGCGAGAGGGCCGCGACGGCCCCCAGGCTGGAGGTTACGTACACCTGGTTCGGCTCCAGCCCGGGCTGGTAGGACGCCTGGTCCACGCGCCCGACGAGGCGCAGGACCCAGTCCCTAAGCCCCTGCTCATCCTCGTGAATGGCCGCCGAGGGATGGACGACGACGCAGAGGAAAGCAATCAGCAACAAGAGCGGAGTCAGCGTCTTCATGCTTCACACACAAACTCCCTCTCCTTCTTTCTTTTATTTCTTTCCTTCTTTTTCTATTTCCCCTTCTTCTCTTTTTTATGTGCGGTGGCGAAGACGATTGTCGAAAGAAATATAATGGCTGCGTTTGCCGTTCTACTTAAGAACACACACGCACACGCAACAAATCGTCCCAAAGAAACAAAAAAAAAGGAAGAAGAGAAAAAAGGGGGAGGGGATGAAAAAGAAGGCGAGGCAGCCGTTGCCAAGGCGCATGCCTGCAAGCACGCCCGCGGGTGGGTGTGCGTGTGTGCGTGTGGCGGCAAGAAGAAGCACGGAAGGAGCAAAAAAAAAAAAATAGGAGGCGTCGTTAGGTGCAACGCAACTTCGCCCCGCGGCGGAGGCACGAAACGCACAGAACGGCGGACTCATTTAGGAACACAACCCCCGTGAATTACCACGCATCTCCAACGCGACGTGACACTCACGCCACCTCCGCCCCTCCCCATCTCGCTCTCTCGGAAAAGGCATCGTCAAATTTCGTTCTCCCTACACTTCCTCCTTCTCGTCCGCTTCGATCTTGCCAAGCAGTCCGAGCGACTCAAGAAAGCTGTAAACAAAGGTGCTGCCCTGCGCATACAGACCGGCAATCCCCGCACTTCTATCCCCCTTAAACTGCAGGAAGGTTGCACGGGGAAAGTGTTTTAGGAAGCGGTCCTTCGCCTCCTGTGGAAACGCCTCCATGCCGCACTGAACAACTGTGACAGGGTTCCCAAACGTGACATCCTCGGCGATGTTAGCGGTCCCTTTAAATGGTCCATGCAACTTCAGCAGCTCCTCGCTGAAGCGAAACCGCAGCCCACCGTCGCGCTGTTCCACAGCAGCGAAGATCAACGCCCGCTCAACGGCATTCGGCACCGTTTTCCTGAGGTACTGCTCCAGGTCCCCCAGCGAGCGGGCGTCCTGCGGGACGCCCCGCAGAATGGCGGGGAGGTGGTAGTGGGAGGGATCGCACGAGTGCAACTGCGAGGGGCCATTCACGAAGAGCGTTAAGGAATCAAAGCTGGATAGCGGAGCGTGCAGCGCGGCCTGACACGCAACAAGGGCACCAAAGCCAAGACCCACTAGCTTTGCATCCGTCCGCAAAATTTGCTTCTGATGCAGCACGACATCCGCAGCAGACGCCAGAGTGTACTTGTCCCCATCGCTTGGACACGGGAGGCCCACCGAGTGGTTATGCCCTCTTAGTTCCACGGCGTACAACTCCAGCGGTGTCGTGGGGGATAATTGCGAGAGTGGCAGTCTGCTGAGGTCCTCGTTGAGCAGCTGCTGCCACGACGCGGACGAGCCGAATAGATCGTGCACGAGAATAGCTTTGCTGCTCGGTCGGGAATCCATGTGCCAGCGGAAGGCGGACAGGGTGTAGTTTAGCGGGAGCGGCAGCTCACCGATGGAAAGCACCTGCATCGGCGAGCCGCCTGGAAAGACGCGGCGAATCAGATTCATCAAAAAACTACTCGATGCGAGCTAACGTCAACGAGACACCACGCAGAGCAAAAGCAGTGATAAATAACAGCAACAACAATAACAAAGAAGTTCCCCTCCTTCTTCTTCTTTACCCCCCCCCCAAAAAAAAAAACCAGGAAAAATGTACACCATTGAACTCGCATGCAGCGTTTTGCGCATCCGTTCACACACGTCGCTGCGGAGCCACAGAAGAATAAGACGAGGAAGAAGAAGAATAAAAAAAACAGCAAACGAATTAACATATACATGCACATTCATGTTTGTCGGTATCCAGTTACGCACGCACGTGCATATATATATACATATATATATATATATATGCCTGAGCGTTAGTAGACGTGGTAAACACTTGTCTTTGGCAAAAAAAAATAAAAATAAATAAATAAAAATAAAAATAAAAATAAAACTGGAACAATGGCAATGACACAAAAACAAACCAATATATATATATATATATATATAT